CGGTGTCGGGTTTCGGGGGACAGCACCTGTCACACGGTGCTGAACCATCGGGAAGGGCCGGTAAACAAGACGGGCACAGGCTGTCCAGGAGGTGCTGCCCGCCCGTGCCGTGGACGTGTCCAGACTGGAGGTGTAAACAGAACCCCGCTGCACACCCTGAGAGCAGCACGGACCCCAAAACAGCGCCAGGGCGGGGGCGAGGAGGGGCACACAGCAGCCCTGTGGGCATGGGGACATTGTGGTGCTTCCAGAAACCAGGCTGAGCTGGGCCAGCTGCAGCAGGGAGTAGGATCATACAGTTTGTCCCTTTCCCCACCTAAAACATGGTTATTTTTGGGGTGCAAACGCCTCGCCTGCGGCTCCCTGTGTGCTTGGAGGGCAGAGGCAGCTCTGGGGAGATGCAGCCCCCATGGCTGGCACATGCAGCAGGGTGCCCCCTCCTCAGGCAGGGGCTGGGGGGCTCCTCCATCACCCCAGACCCAGCGGGGGCTGCTCAGGCCGCTCCCCACAGGCACATCCCAGCCGTGACCCAGCTGGCTCCGACACTGGGGTGCCAAAGCTGACCCAGAAAGGGCCGAGGGGGCAGAGGGTGAGCGCAGACCTCGCTGAAAACAGCCCCGGACACTGGCCAGGGGCCAGTGCTGGCCACGGGGAGAGCTGTCAGCACGGGCAGCTGCACCGGCAGAGGGTAACCCTACCCTTGGCACAGATGGGTCAGCACGGGGGGACAGGGCAGGGGTGGCTGCGGGCAGGACGGGGTGCAGGGGGTGCCCATGTGTGGGTGCACAGGGATGCACAAGTACAGGATAAATGGATGTACAGGTACAGGATAAATGGATGTACAGGTGTATGGATAAATGGATGCACAGGTACAGGATAAATGGATGTACAGGTGTATGGATAAATGGATGCACAGGTACATGGATAAATGGATGCACAGGTGTATGGATAAATGGATGCACAGGTGTATGGATAAATGGATGCACAGGTACAGGATAAATGGATGCACAGGTACATGGATAAATGGATGCACAGGTACATGGATAAATGGATGCACAGGTACATGGATAAATGGATGCACAGGTACAGGATAAATGGATGCACAGGTACATGGATAAATGGATGCACAGGTGTATGGATAAATGGATGCACAGGTACAGGATAAATGGATGCACAGGTACAGGATAAATGGATGCACAGGTGTATGGATAAATGGATGTACAGGTGTATGGATAAATGGATGCACAGGTGTATGGATAAATGGATGCACAGGTACATGGATAAATGGATGCACAGGTACAGGATAAATGGATGCACAGGTGTATGGCACACAGTGTCGGGGTGCACTGACCCCCTCCTGTCTCCACAGATGTTCTGGGGCTCCTTCCGCCCTGCCTCACGTGTGGAGCGAGTGACCGTGCCGGGATCCGCCAGGCACATCTTGCAAAATCGTTCCCGTTCCGGCCCTTGGGGCTCTGCCAGCGAGGCGCTGGCAGGAGGACAGGGCTGGCTGGACACCCGGGAGGGCAGCACGAGGGTCGGACCCTGCCCGGACCCAAACACGACCTGGCCCTGCCCTGGGTGACATTGATTAACTAATTGCTTCTGGACTCGATTAAGGGGATTCACAGGAACGGAGGGGTTGTAATGCCCTAAGCAGCTTTCCCAACCCACAAGGGGCTCGTTGGCCCCTAATTGGCTTGGGACAGCTTAGGCAGGACCCCGGGCACTGATCACACCCGGGATCCTGCCCAATTAACCCTGGAGAGCCCGCTTCGGAAATGAATCTCCCTCTGCTTGGTCTGAGCAGGGCTCTAAGCAGGAGGTGGCCCTGGTTTCTACCAAAATGTCCCTGTGTGGTTGAGGAGACAGCAGGGCTGTGACAGGAGCCCAGCTCCTGGCCATGGGGACACTTCCAGCCCCGCAGCCTGCAGGGGAAAGGGGACCATGGCACACAACAGGGAACAGAGAGGGGCGACAGCTCTTGTATCACTGTCGTACAAAGCCAGAGCACAACCGAGGGCTGTGCTGATTTTTTCTGGAAGCCAAGCAATAAATGACAGAGTCCCAGAATTGTTTTGGAAGGACATTAAAGCCCCTCCAGTGCCACCCCTGCCATGGCAGGGACACCTTCCACTGTCCCAGGCTGCTCCCAGCCCTGTCCAGCCACTGCCAGGGATCCAGGGGCAGCCACAGCTTCTTGGGCACCCTATTCCAGTGCCTCCCCACCCCCACAGGCAACAATTCCTTTCTAATTAATAAACAGAAATTTCGGCGATTAATAATTGATTAATTATTGTCATTAAACGCCCACCGCGCTCGCCCCGCCCCTCCGCCTCAGATGACCAATCACAGCGCGCCGTGCCCGGAGTGGGCGTGGCCGCGGCTGAGGGAGGGGGGAGGGCGGAGCGCAGCCCTAAGATGGCGGCCGGGCGGCGGCGGCGGCGGCGCTGAGGTAACGCGGCTT